CTCGAAATGATCCAGACAATGTCACAGCTACTGGATGGTTGAAAGGGCAGATTTTGGATGGAAGTGCTTTTTTACAGTCTTGTATTTTACATTATATTAACAAGATTAGAATAGCATTGAATCATTGGAAAGCGTTTAATAGGTACTTCAGGAGTGACTTAAATTGATGTGCAGAGAATTGAGGCAGAGGATGGAGATGACTAATCCAAACAAAGTATCCTGGTCACTGGTCAATTGGATATTAGTCACCCATTCCTTTTTAAATGCTCGCACTTCAACAGCATGTGGAATGAATGGTGGTTAAAATATTACTTCGGTTCTCTAGGTAGTATAATGTTAAGCAATTTGAAAGTACTATGCTTTTTAGTTTGGTAACAACTTATTGAAGTTAGTTGTAATTTATGTAAATTAGCATTGTTATTTCAAGTTTCTTGTGAGATACCTAGAGGTCTTGTATTACTCTGAATAGCTTCTGAGCCAGAAGCTCTGGATTTGAGTCTCTCCACAGGATATTACAGTGGAAGATGTTTGGGGTGTGGCTACATCACAATGTATTTATGGTAGGTAATAAAGTGAAGGAGTCTTCTGGTCAGCCTTGCTTGATGTAGTCAGAAGGCACATGACACCAGGTTATAGTTCAAGTTTTTGGAGCACAGCTCATAGTCAGAAGTCATGTGACTTCTGACTGTCCATCCCAATCCAACACCGGCACCACCACATCATTACTTAATGCGGTGTGCCACCTCCCCCACCGCATCAATTTTTAACAATAAGCAGTTCCCACTCCAGGAAAATTTTGACATGGAAATCAAAATTAGATATGGGAAAGCCCCCAGTCAGTGAGAAACCTAGAATTGACTAAAGTTTCCATGAAAAAGGAATAAATAAAACTTGGGACATTTAATTTATTTTTGCTATTTTTATTTATTTTGAGAAGATAGATGATCTGGAGTTTACTAAATCAGCACATTGCCTTAACAAACCCTTATAGAATCATAGAATCACTAGAATGTGGAAACAGGCCATTTTGCCCAAGAAGTCCACAGCGACCCTCTGAAGAGCATCTCACCCAAACCTATCACCCTCCTTTTCCCTGTAACCCTGCATTTCCCATGGTTAAGCCATCTAGCCTGGCCAATCCACCTAACCTGCACAGCTTTGGACTGTGGGAGAAAACCAGAGCACACGGTGGAAACTCACGCAGACACGGGGAGAATGTGCAAACTCCACACAGACAGTCGCCTGTGGAATTGAACTTGGGTCCCTGGCGCTGTGAGGCAACAGTGCTAACCACTGAGCCACTGTGCTGCCCTAATACATGTTAGATGTGTTAATGTAGCAACCTGTACAATATTTAGTTCTGGTCTAGTAAGTGACAACAACATTTCTAACATAATGCCAAACAATGACCATTTCAAATAAAGAATGTAACTATCTCCCCTTGACATTCAATGGCATCACCATCTCTGAATCCTCCACTAACAACCTGGCGTTTGCATTTGAACAAAAGCTGAACTAGACTGGCCATAAATCTACTGTGGCTACAAGACCAGGTCAGAAGTTGGAATGCTGCGATCAGTAACTCACCTCCTGACTCTCCAAAGCAGATCCACCATCTATAAGTCCTCAGTCAGGAATGTAATAGGGCGCTCACTACTTGCCTCGATAAGTGCAGCTCCAGCAAGCAAGCAGCTCAACACCATTCAAGACAAAAGAAAAGTTTGTTTGAATTGTTAAAAACAAACAACCTGTTGTTTTAAAAATGGACTCCCTCCACAACTATTGCATAGTGGCAGCACTATGTGCCATATGGCTGATGCACTGCAGCAGCTTGCCAATTCTAAAGTACTTTCCAAATATCCAAATTCAACTACCTAGAAGGTCAAGGGTGGCATAGATATGGGAACATGACCTGCAAGTTCCCTTCCAAACCTAATACATGCCACCTTAATACATGTTAGATGTATTAACATAGCAAACCTGTACAATATTTAGGTTTGGTGTAGTAAGTGACAATCGGAAATATATTACTTCTTTCACTGTCACAAAGAATCCCTACATTGTGGAAGCAGGCTATCTGCCCATTTGAGTCCGCAACAATCCTCCAAAGAGCATCTCACGCAGACCCACCCTCAACTCTATCCCTGTAACCCTGCATTTCCCATGGATGATCCACCTAGCACATCTTTGGACTGTGGGAGGAAACCGGAGCACCTGGTAGAAACCCAAGCACACATGGGGAAAATGTGCAAACTCAGACTGGAATTGAGCCCAGGTCCCTGGTGCTGAGAGGCAGCAATACTAAATATTGTGACACTGTGCCATCCACTGATCAAAATCCTGGAATTCCCTGGGCAAAAATCACTGGATGTACCAGGTGGGTACCACCAGGTGGATGTACCAGTAGCTCACCGCTACTTCCTTGAGAGGATGTAGGGGGATGGGCTTACCAATGATGCTGTCATCCCATGGGGGGCGGGGGGAAGGAATCGGGAAAAGCAAACTGTTTAAAAATTGCATAAAGAACTTGCTAAGCCTGCGTGTCAAACGTCATCAATCCTGCTAAAGCTTGTGTGGTGGTTGAATTTTAAGAAGTGCTAAATATGAAATCTGTATTTTAAAAACTATAAACATTGATAACGTCACATTGTGAAACTTCCAACACCGTGGGTATTTAATGAGTTGATCCTCATGGATCTAAATGTACAGGTCAAACTCACTTCATTACACACTTGTATACTGAATGACCAGATTTTTAAAATCTTTCTGCGATTCCTTGTGAGGGCAAAGAGGTTCCTCGAGACAACAGATAGGTGAAATGGATAGGGTTCAGACTTCCAATACCAGTGACATTCCTGACCGAGATGGAGTAGAGACGTGAAAATGGGTAATCATTGTCATGGGTTTAATGGGCTCTGATGGTAAGGCAGTACTTGCCAAAAGTAATTCCCAAAGTTTAAGGTTCATTTTACCTTGATTGTTTTGTCAGTAAATCATTCTGGATTTTTTGAGCAGTTGATAAGGTGGTTTACTTAATTTCAGTGTTTAAAGGCTCCTGTGTTTTGACTTGGAGATGCTGAGAAATAGGATGTGGTAGAGCAAAAGCTGGATGATGGTATTCAAAGTGACCATGATACAGGGATCATCCAAATGCTGTTTGCCCAGATTGCATACTTGGATAACATTATAATATTCCATAGGGTCCAGTGAATGGGGGGATGTGACAGTTATGGGAAATGCAAGAACTTAGCAATTTAAATATTGATTAACTGTTCTGGAAAATGACGAAGAAGTCATTGGGCCAACAGATTGAAATGATAGAGCAGAGAGTTTGAAAGTGCAGTGCAAGTACTGCAAATAAGATGGTGTGACTCAAAGAAAGCACTCATTGCTGATAGAGTTGAAGTGCAAAAGATAATTCTGCAGTACTAGTCTCAAAAAAATGCAAGTAAAGCATAGATTAGAGAATGAAATAAAGGGCAGAAAATTGGAAGAAGCTGTCCTTATGTTTGAGAAATTTGGCTGCCAATAAACGTCAGAATAAACACAGACTCTTCAATGCCCTTATTAGTTTTTTCTGAAGTCCCAGATAAGAGGCACCCAGCTCTGTCACTGGTTTTTGCAAAGACTTCACACACCTGAGGCTAAAGCAAGATTAGTTGTTACAGGAATTGAAGAACAGCTACATGATACAGATGTTAGTGAACTCTCTCCACTGCTGGGAAAGTAATTTGAAAATCTGTTCAGCTCTTTTAGACCAAAGATTCCTGAGAATGTAGTTCAGTTATTGAAAAAGCCACAATTTTGCAAGGTGCTACTTTTTTGGGGAGAAGTATTTCTGAAACAGACCAAGGAGGCAGCAGACAAAAAAACTACAGAAACCAAACCCATGTGCCTGGTCTGAATACTGCTTCCAGAATGTGGTATTTTGAGTAAGGTCTGTTTTGCTAAAATTCTGTTTTGTACAAATCCTACAATGTTTCATTGTTATTACAAAGGAACATATTCAGGCATGTTCACAGTGCAGGTTAATTGCCTATAGAATGATGCTGAAGAATTTAAAATTGTGGACTTGTAGGGCCACAATTATTTAGTGTTTTAGATATTAAGCAGAGTAGGTCTGGAATAACTCAAATTCTGAATATTATTGTTTTGTAATGCCCATCCATTTAATTGTAGGAGGTTATCACTGTAAAATGTTATAACTAAAGAGGCAGGGCATTGTCCAACCAGTTAAGTTTGAAAAGCATTAGACAACATGCAACTTTTTGTTGTGTTGGAGTTAAGTATTCTGACAAACTTCTGTGATGCTAAGAATATCTTGAGGAAAATAAAGCAAAACTGAAGTTTGGATAAATATGAAGCTTCTTATTTTTAGTATGACTTCTCCAGTGTAGTTGCTTCCGTAATTTTTTTAAAATAATGGGGAATGCTTCCATTTTGGCTTGAACATTTGTTGAGACATTTTACTTTTTTGTGGAAGTATAGGATATGAGATTCTAATTGGCAAAACTTCCAAATGGTATTCTGTGCAAAAGGCATACTGAAGATCGTATACCCATCAAGTGTAGGTAATCTTGTTGAGATTGGTTGGCTCGCCGAGCTGGTTTGTTGTTTTGTAAAAACCCTTGTAGGTAATCTCCATGATGGATAATGTACACTTTTTATGAAGGGCTTAATTGAGAAAAGATTGTTGATTGACTTTGCTGACTTCAATCAAACCATGGAGTAAAAATAAATTTTAAATACAGGCAGACACAAACTATCAAACAATTTGACAATTAATGATCCCAGTTGATTTGAGATACTTGGACAAGTCAGATCCTAGAGTGAAATGTCACTTGATAGACCATGGGTTTAGTTTTCTTGTTGTTTAACTTGGTCAGTCACTGAACATACTTGGAAGACATTGCCAATGTGTTTTTAATAAAATGTTTTTTTTCTCTTGATTAAAAACTTATGATATTATACTAGCCATTGGAATGATCACAGTACTAACATGAAGAAAAATTTCATCCCTTTTATCTCAGCATTACCTTTTACAGAAAGTCAAACCTCCATGAACCCCTAACTCCACATACAGATATGCCGGCTGAGCAAGAGGCTATAATCGGTTTCCTTTTGGCAAATTGCTGTGCATTTACCAGATGCTATTTTCTTCAGTTAATGTCTCTCATCAAGAAGCTCACTTAAGATGAGTTCACTACCTAATGTCTTCAATAGCCTTGTCGAAATGTCTTTTTCTGACACCACAAGCCTTCTGGTTATGAAGCCTTTTAGTTTCTAACATCTAAAAATCTCAGAACTTCTCTCTAGCACTGACTACTTGGAGATTCTATTGTTATGAACCTGTTGCTTTCTACTCAGTCAGTAACACTCCTTTCACAATACCATGCACTTTGCTTTGTCAAACAAATAAATTAGCAGGGGTCCTACAGGAAGGACCTATTACAAAGTAATTATGCAAAGAACATGCAAGTCTTGACATAAGCCCATTTTTGTTTTATAAAAAGGATTTGCTTAATTGTATGCAGATGGTGAGCATTAAGTTACAGGCTGACAAATAGACTTAAACTGGTTGGGTTAAGACATGTATGTCTGCAATGGGTAACTCGACCAAACTTCAAGCTTTCGTTTACAAAGATTGTCTTATATTCCAGAAAGCCAGCTGTTCAAAGGTGGAATTGAATCCACTATGAAGATCCATTTGTCCAGTGTATCAGCCTATTTTTCTTTTCCTCAATGGTTTGAGCATTTTATTGTCTGATTTTGTTTTGTTCCACGAGTGACATTTTACTTTATCTTGTTTACATAGACATGATCAGATTGGGTCATAACTCAGTCTGATTGAAGCAGGATTTCAGCTGCAAATTTTGGCCTTTTCTTGTTTAAAGACCATTGTTCAACTACTTCCTATAGAAATCCAGGTGAGTGGAAATTGTAAATGGTTTCAAGTATTTTCTTGTTTCAGCAGTCCAAAATGATTTTCATTGATGTGTTGATTCAACAGGTCAGTGACATCTGTGGAGAGAAATAAGTGGTTGGCCAGAAAACATGAACTTTTCATCAGAACTGGGAGATGTCACAAATGAGCAATTTTTAAGCAAATACAGCATTGGGAAGAGGGTTGGGGAGATGGAGAAGCCAAATAAAAAGAACATCTGTGATCAGGTGAGAAGACAGGAATGGTTTTAGATGACTTGGATGAGGGTATCAACAAGTGAAGACATGAAAGATGGTCCAGTGTATAAATGGGGAAAGCAGAGATCGCTATAAAAATGTAGTAGCGCAGAATGCTCCTTTTTTGGTTTGAAAATGTGACTAATGGAGGCCCGGTAGACTGCAGGGATGAAAGCCATTGCACCTGTCACTTTTGAGAGGGGATCTCATCCCAACACTAAGTAACATTTCCACTCCCTGTGCCTCTGTCGCAGTTAATGTCCATTTACCAGCACCTCATGAGAAAATGGGTTCTGTGAATTCATGAGGCCAGTTAGAGATCAGGAAACTGTTTATTTCTTGGCATTCTTAATTGTTTCAAAATTCATCACAGCAAAAAGACATCTGAAAAGTACATAACCTATTTATGACTTGTTCGTTTTATATGTGTACACTATGTTCTGTTGCAGTAAGTTTGCCCACTTCTCTGCTCTTACCCTTGTTCACTTGCAGAGTTCAGGATCTCATCCAAGTGGCCAGTTTCCCCACATGTGCTCCCATGTCACCGGGATATTTTACCCTTGGTGGGGCAGGAGCGGGGAAGGATATAATTCCCACGTCAGATCTTCTGCACCCTCCACTGGTGAAGTGTTAGAATGCTTAATGTGTAATGAATTACTTGAAACTGCAATGACTATTGCTATTGCCCAACACATAATTCAAATTTAAGATGTAAGATCACATTAACTTAATTCTGTTGTTGGGAGAGAAACTTTGTGCCTTTTGTTGATATCTTAAACCAGAGTCCAGGCAACATTTTAGAAAAAAAGACTGAAAATAACTGCATTTCAGCTTGTAATTAATCACCTGTATAGGGAGCTTAACTTGTCATGAATTGCTTCCTCACACTGGCTATAAATGTACCCTGGGTGCTGATGTCAATCTGCTAGCAGCCTAAAGGCTCTAACAGCACTAAGCAGAGCTAACAAGACAGTTGTGAGAATGTTGGCATGGCGACAAATCAATTTAGTCCCTGTTTGCCCCTAGTCACCCCTCGTCACACAGATGTGATTCCACTGGACACCTACTGACTCTATAATTATTTAAAACTTTAGTTGCATTATGGCCTGAGCACATTTTTACAGCTTTCAGTCAACACTGCTGAAAGCAGGAAAGACTAGTTAAAAGCTGGGGAATATGCAATTTACTTTTCAGGCAATTGTAATAATTTTTATTTCTTTCTTTTTTCCTGGAATTTGAGCATTTTGGGCAAGGACAGTATTTATTGTCCTCCTCTAATTACCATTCAGAAGGTGGTAGTGAGAGCAATGTCATTGGGTACACAATCTTCCAGATGTGTACACCAATTTTTCATGAAAAAGTATACTCCCTAAACTGATACAGTTTTACTAGAACCACTCACAACCGTTTGAAAGCAGAAAACTCTTGCCTTGATGCCCAAAGCTCTCATGGGTTTATCTTCCTACCAAAATAGCTGAGTCATGCAGCCAAGTGGGAAAGACTGCAGGCACAAGCTCAAATCAGTATTGACTCAGTTATACTTACTTGTGGCCCTGGATTATGGAGGGGAAAATTGTGCAGTCTTCCTGCTGAATGATCGCAAGTGTGTGCGTGCATTCTACAGCCTCTGATCTCGTTTGAGATTCACAACATACAATATGCTCATTTGGACAGACATGTCTCCTCCTGAATACATCTGCAGAAATTTCCTTGGCATAATGTCCTAGCCTCACCCATTTTCAGCAAATGACCTTCACTCCATTGTCGGAGTGGGGATGTTTGCCAAATGCAGCAAGACCTGGTTAGCACTGACAAGTAATGTTGCCTGGCACTTGTGTGCATGAATGACCAAATCCAAGTGTTTAACTATTGCCGCTTGATATTCAATGGTATTATCACGGAATTGCTCCACTACCTAGTGAGGGATAGTGAGACCAAAACTGGCATTTTTGTCTGACTCCTAAAGTTACTTATTCACTGGTATAGGGTCTGCCACATTTTGTTCAGTTGGCTATTTCTGATCCTTTTCTTTGGTCATTTCCCCTCTTCTGAAGACACCATTGGATATAAATTACCATATTTCATGGGTAATGGGATAGCACTGACAAGGCCAGAATTTGCCCATCCATAATTGCCCCAAATAACTATCTTGCTGGGGGAATGAACAGTTGATGAGAGTGCTGTGGAGCTGGAGTCAGGTGCAAGACTGGGCAGGGATGACAGATTGGCCTCCTCTACATCGGAGAAACCAAGTGGAGGCTTGGGGACCGCTTTGCGGAACACCTATGCTCAGTTCGCACCAAACAACTGCACCTCCCAGTCGCGAACCATTTCAACTCCCCCTCCCATTCTTCAGACGACATGTCCATCCTGGGCCTCCTGCAGTGCCACAACGATGCCACCTGAAGGTTGCAGGAACAGCAACTCATATTTTGCTTGGGAACCCTGCAGCCCAATGGTATCAATGTGGACTTCACAAGCTTCAAAATTTCCCCTCCCCCAATCGCATCCCAAAACCAGCCCAGCTTGTCCCCGCCTCCCTAACCTGTCCTTCCTCCCACCTATCCCCTCCTCCCACCCCAAGCCCCAGCCCCATCTCCTACCTACCAGCCTCATCCCGCCCCCTTGACCTGTCCGTCCTCCCTGGACTGACCTATCCCCTTCCTAACTCCCCACCTACACTCCCCTTTACTGGCTCCACCCCACCTCTTTGACCTGTCTGTCTCCTCTCCACCTATCTTCTCCTTTATCCATCTTCTATCCGCCTCCTCCCCTCTCCCTATTTATTTCAGAACCCCCTTCCCCTCCCCCATTTCTGAAGAAGGGTCTAGGCCCGAAATGTCAGCTTTCCTGCCCCTCTGATGCTGCTTGGCCTGCTGTGTTCATCCAGCTCTACACCTTGTTATCTCAGGGATGACAGATTGCCTTCCCTAAAACGGTACTAATGAAGCAGACATTTTTCCACAATCTACAATAGTTGCGATCATTATTATTTAGACTAACTTTTCTTCCAAATGTTATCAATTGTTTTCAATTCCACCAACTGCCATGGTGCAATTTGAACCCATATCACCAGAACGTAAACGTGAGTCTTTGGATTTCTACTCCCAATGACATTTGTCACAATGCTTTCATTCTCACCTTGGATATTAGATTGGCCCAGTTATCATAGAGTAATATAGCATGGAAACAGGGCCTTCGGCCCAAACTGGTCCATGCTGCCCCACTCAACCAGTTCCAATTGCCCGCATTTGATCCTTATCCCCCTAAACCCTTCTCATCCATGTACCTATCCAAACGTTTCTTAAATGTTGCTATTGTACCTGCCTCAACCACTTTCTCCAGCAGCCCATTCCATACAGGCACCACTCTCTGCGCGAAGAAGTTGCCCCTCAGGTCCTTTTTAAAGCTTTCCCCTTTCACCTTAAACCTAAGCCCTCCAGTTTTCAATTCCCCATCCCTGGGAAAAAGACAATATACATGCATCCTATCTGTGCCCCTCAAAAATTTTATACACCTCAAAGTCACCCTCATTCTCCTATGGTCCAAGGAATAAAGTCCTATCCTGGCCATCCTATGCTGGCCAACCTCTTCCCTATAACTCAGGTCTACTGATCTTGGCAAACTTCTCGTACATATTCTTTGTACACTTTCCAGTTTAACTATGTCTTTCCTATAACAGGGTGACCAAAACTGTACACAATACTCCAAGTGTAGCCTCACCAACGACTTATACAACTGTAACATAACATCCCAGCTCCTACACGCGATGCCTTAACCGATGAAGGCCTGCATGCTGAATGCCTTCTTCAGCACTCTGTCTACCTGTGACACCGCTTTCAACGAACTATGTACTAGTACTCCTAGGTCCCTCTGTTCCACAACACTTTCAGAACCTTACCATTTACTATACAAGTCCTACCTTGGTTTGACTTTCCAAAGTGCAACACCTCACACTTATCTGTATTGAATTGCATTTACCAATCCTCAGCCCACTTCCCCATCTGATCAAGATTCCCTCTGTAATTTTTGATAACCTTCTTTGCTATCAACCATACCTCCTAATTGTGTATCATTCGCAAACTTACTAATCATGCCTTGTACATTCACATCCAGATCATTTACATAAATAACAAAGGTCCCAGCACCAACCCCTGTGGCACACCACTAGGCACAGGCCACCAGTCTGAGAAACACCTTTAACCATCACCCTCTGCTTCCTACCATCTAGCTAGCTTTCCCTGGATCCCATGCGACCTAACTTTCGTGACTAGCCTGCCGTGTGGGACCTTGTCAAAGGCCTTACTCAAGTCCATATAGACAACATTCACTGCTCTACTCTCATCCATCCTCTTGGTTACCTCTTCGAAAAACTGTGAAAGATTTGTCAGACATAACTTCCTGTGCACAAATCCATGCTGACTATCCCTATTCAGACTTTGACTATCCAAATGTCGGTTGATCCTGTCCCTCAGTATCCTCTCCAATAACTTGCCTATCACTGATGTCAGTCTCACTGGCCTGTAATTCCCTGGCTTGTCTTTTCTACCCTTCTTAAACAATGGAACAACATTAGCCACCATCCAGTCTTCTTGAACTTCACCAGTAGCAAAAGATGAAGCAAAAATCTCTGCAAAGGCCTCTGCAATTTCTTCCCTAACCTCCCACAACATCAGAGGATAGACTTTATCAGGCCAACTTTCTTGGATATGTTTGACAAATTCCACCCCGTCTGGGTGGCCCAGTCAATGCAGGGGAAATTAAAATCTCCCACCAATACTAATCTATTATTCCTACTGGTATCTGCAATCTCTCTACATATCTGCTCCTCTAGTACTTACTGGCTATTTGGGGGTCTATAATACAGTCTCAAGAGATTGACCACCCCCTTCTTGTTTCTAAATTGATTGAGAATTGTTGGTTTAAGCCCAACCCCCAGGTTTTAGCTACGCCATCTAGGCTGGACCTTCAGTACAGAATAGTGTGACTGGTCAAACCTCCTCTTAACATTTAAAACTTCCTGAGCAAGAACTCTTTATTTGAAAAGTCACAGAATCAGAATTCTGGTGTCCACAACATTGAACCTTAATTAACCAATAAACCCCAAACCCTATTTTAACATAAGTTCAGATTAATAGTCATTTATTTTGTTATTTGCTGTTGTGGCACTAACAGCAGCCATGCTTACACTTCAATTTAATGTAATAACTGTGCAACTGTTCTGGGGTACTTTGAGGGTTTGAAAGGTATTACCTGAATGCATATTATTTCCTTGTGCACAGTGCTGTGAGCAACCGCTGTCCTCTGAATTAAAACAAAAAAAATTAACTAGTTTTTCTAATCAACCTGTTTAGATATGTTATTACACAGCTCTGCAGCAGGTGGGACTTGAAGCTGGGCCTCTTGGTCCAAAAGTAGGGACACTTCCACTACATCATAAGAGGGCCCTCTAACAACTGTCCTTTAATCTTGCATCCAATAGCGATTATCAGCTGAGGCGATCTGCCTTCTTTTTAAATGTAATCCGAGGGACGCTCCTAAAGTTCAAAACCTGAAAATCAAAAACGCAATACTTTTCTGTTTATTCCTCGTCTGGTTTACAGATTCCAAGGGCCTAGTTGTGCTCCAACACCTGATCCATATGGCCATTGTTTGTACAGCACCTCATCTATGGAGTTCAGCCAGAGATTCAACTGAGAACATCATAACCAAACTTTTACTTCTGTCACACTTTCAAACATGTGCAAACATGTTTACTCCCAGTGCTGCAAAACAGGAATGCATCACCAGTGGCAACTGGTGCACATGGCCTTTTTATTGCAGGAAGGAGCTCCAGTTTGTGAATTTTCGCAACTTGGTTAGGATTATTAATGATGGAAGTTTTCAATTGAATTTAATATTCACAGCAGACAAACATGTAAATTGACAACTGACTCTCACACAAATGATCTGTTTTACAGTCCTCCAGTCTCAGTACTCAGCCACAATATAACTTTCTTTTGAGTCTGAAGTGATTACTTGGTCATTTGTCATTCAAGTCACACTGGCTACCAGGGGTGAACTCTAAACTGTCACTACTGTTTCATTTAATGACATCATGCTATAAAAGAAGTGACTAATCACTTGGAAATCCAGACTGTAACTAACTTGAGGTTCTGGTAAACAAGCTGACTTTGTTTTTGTCCTGTCATAACTTCATACTTTCACTGCATTCAAAAATAAGGATGTGGCAGCATGTTAGATTGCTTGAACGTCCTTTGTGTGTGCCTTTTTTTAATTGTCTCTGCTACCTTCCTCTGTCTAGGGAACTCCTATAACTTATGTGTGTAGTAAAGGTGAGTTAACACTAATATTACTTTCTCTGCCTCACATATATATGCCAAAGTACATATGGGCACATGTATAGAGCTGCAGACATACACATTTGCAAATAAAAAACATTTGAGCGTGGCCTTACAAATGTTGGATACCTATGCACAATGACTTGGATGTTTATAAATGTAAACGTACAGATGGATACAGGTGTAGAGATTCATGTTGGTACAGCACATGTGGATACATACACATTTCTGCACAGGGAGCCAGTGGTGTAGTGATCATGCCACTGGACTAGTGGGCTCATGCTCTGGGGACATGGATTTGAATCCTACCATGGCAATTAAATTTTTTTTTAAATCTGGAATTAAAAGCTAACCTAACAGCAACTGATCTGGTGTACGTACATTAGAAACCAATAGAGAGAAAATAAAATTGATTAGTTTCAAAAATCTACTCTTTACCATGTATCTGATGGTAGACATTTTTGCCTGTGCATTCCCACTGAGGAACCTTGGCTGCTTGGGGTGATATCAGGACCTAGTGGAGGATAATGGTCTGTGTGTACTCATTTGGAATGTCAGCCCTTGAGACTTTGATTTCTGGGGTGAATCGATAGAGATCGGGGTTTATTCACTATTGGTGCTTATGCACTTTATAGTAAAAGCAAGCAGCCAGAGTTTTCTATGGTTTTTATTCTGTCACTTCTGCATCTGTGGGCATCACCAATTTGAATCTGTCATCTATATAGATCAGTAATTTACAAAAACAAGCTTTTATCAGTTGGCATTTTTGGGGAAAATAACAAAAAGCAGAAGGGACATTTCACACTTGCTTTGTTTCTACAAAATTGGATGACAGCTGTTATGAGCTCTAATGTACTAATCAACTGTGGGAAGATCAGAGCCAGAGGAGGAGCTGTGAATAAATTACACAGGAGTCACATTGCCAGTAGAGGGGCAAAGCTGTGAGCTATAAGAATAATGAAGTAAATGTTAGAACAATACAGTGCAAGACACGTACTACAGGTATATTTGTAACTCTTCCTTTTAATGCTTTTGTGATGCGCTGCCACCAACTTCAGTCCCCAGTTATATTGCTGTAGCTTACCAATGCACCCCTTTCAAAACCTTTGTAATTGTAACGTGGAACCTTTACTGTTTTAATCAGATGTTGTGCTTTTCCAATCCATTCAGCTGTTTTATTTGGTTGGTGTATGTTTTGTAGATGAGCTTCTCTGCGATAAGAATTGTTCATTCGGACCAGCATCTCTGGCCTGATTCTGTTTGGAAGACTAGTGATTTTGTTGTTTTTGTCTGATTTGACAACAAGTCACAGTCTGCCATACAGCATCAGGCAGAACACCAGTGTTTGCAACAATACCTTCTACGTTCTTAATATTGGAGCTTTGTAGTTAGGATTTTCAGGGAAAATTCTCTTGAATTTTTTGTTTTGACGTTTTGAAGAAAGTTTGCCACTAATTGGTATTGCTGAGGAAAATTTGTACATTCAATCAGTATATGCTTAGGTAGCTAATCAAGGTTAGCCTGATAACACCTACATTACAAAAATGTAAGCTAGTTACGTCTCTGCTTTTTAACTCATTTCGAGTGCAAGCTATAGAAACATAGCTACATAGCAGGAGTAGGCCATTCGGCCCTTTGAGCCTGCACCAACATTCAGTATGATAATTTCAGTATCCCACTCCTGCTTCCTCTCTACACCTCCTCATCCCTTTAGTTCCAGGGGTCACATCCAGCTCCCTGTTGAATATATCTAATGAATTGGCCCCGACAGCTTCCTGTGGTGGAGAATTTCACAGATTCACAACTGAGTTAAGAAATTCTTCCTCCTCTCAGTCCTGAATGGCTTACTCCTTATTCTTTGACTGTGACCCCTAGTTCTGGAGTTCCCTAACATGGGAACATTCTTCCCGCATCTAGCCTGTCCAGTCCCATCAGGATTTTATGTTTCTGAGATTCCGCACCCCACTCCCCATTCTTTTAAACTTCAGCAAGTACAAGCCCAGTCGATTCAGTCTTTCATAGAGTCAGAGAGTAATACCGCATGGAAACAGGCCCTTCAGCCCAAAATGGTGCATGGTGACCATGGTGTCCACTCAGCTAGTTCTAATTGCTCACATTTCGTCCATATCCCTCTGAACCCTTCTCATCAATGTACCTATGCAAATATTTCTTAAATATTGCTATTGTACCTGCCTCAACCACTTTCTCTAGCAGCCCATTCCATATATGCACCACTTTCTGCACGAAGAAGTTGCCCCTCAGGTCCTCCTTAAATCTTTCCACTCTCACCTTAAACCTATTCCGTCTAGTTTTCAATTCCCCAAACCTGAGAAAAAGACTATATGCATTCTTCCTATCTATGCCCTTCATGATTTTACACACCTCAATAAGGTCACCCCTCATTCTCCCATGTTCGAAGGAAGAAAGTCTTACCCTGGCGAACCTCTCCCTATATCTCAGGCCTACTTGTTCTGGCAACATCCTCATAAATCTTCTTTGCACATTTACCAGTTTAACAATGTCTTTCCTATAACAGGATGACCAAAATTATACACAATACTCCACCTGCAGCCTCACCAACGACTTATACAACTGTAACATAATGTCCTAACTCGATGCCTCGGTCGATGAAGGCCTGCATGCTAAATGCCTTCTTCACCTCTCTGTCTCCTTGTAATGCCGCTTTCAACAAACTATGTACTTGTACTCCTAGGTGCCTCTGTTCCGCAACGCTCCTCAGAACCTTACCATTTACTGTATAAGTCCTACCTTGGTTTGACTTTCCAAAGTGCAACACCTTACACTTATCTGTACTGAATTATATTTGCCAATCTTTAGCACACTTCCCCATCTGATCAAGATCCTTCTGTAATCTTTGATAACCTTCCTCGCTATCAACAATATCTCCTAATTTTGTATCATCCGCAAACTTACCAATCAAGCCTTATACATTCACATCCAGATCACTTATGTAAGTAACAAACAACAAAGGTCCCAGCATGGACCCCTGTGGCACACCACTAGTCACAGGCCTCCAGTCCAAGAAACAACCTTCAACCATCATCCTTTGCTTCCTGCCATTGAGCCAATTTTGAATCCAGTTAGCTAGCTCTCCCTGGATTCCACGTGACCTAATCTTCATGACCAGCCTGCTGTGCAGAACCTCGTCAAATTCCTTATCAAAGTCCATATAGACAACATCCACTGCCCCAAACTCATCTATCCTCTCGGTTACCTCTTTGAATGTCAGACATGACTTCCCATGCACAAATGCATGCTGACTAAACATTTACCCTTGTCTTTTAATATACACGGAATTAGTGGCTTATTTTGTACACAACTGAACGAAAGAATCATCTGTGACAGCACATAACCTCTACTGGCTGAAAGCAACCCTGGGATCGGGAGCCAATTTGGCTTCACACTCCCCACTCAGTCAAGGGTTTGCACTCGTTACAGTTTGGAAGGTCTGCTTTTAATCTTATTTTTCCATTAGTTTGTTAGATATTTCTTTAAACAGAAAATACTAGTGAAGTCCTCAGCATAGCTAGTTGTTAACAGGACTGGGGAAAAGGACAGCTCCAACCATTATAGTACACAACATGGTCCTGGAACTTAAGATGTGTGACTCGAGAGTCCACCTGCCTGGAGTCTTATAGTGACAAGCCACAAAGGAGAAACTGAAACTGAACATGCTACAAACGTTCAGCAAGTCTGGCAGCCTCTGTAAAGAAAGAAAAATTAGCAATGTTTCAGGAGTAACTTTTCAACAGAATCTCTGAGTATATTTTAGATGTTGGCCCTTGCTCATTAGTAGCACAACTCACCTCTGAGTAAGAAGGTCATGGGTTCACATCTCATTCCTCCAATTAATCTAAACTAATACTCCAGATACAATTGAAGAAGGGCTGCACTGCCTGTTTTTCAGGTGAAATATTTAACCTATTTGTCATCTCAGGTGGATGTAAAAGATACCACTATTGGAAGAAGTGTAGGACAATGCTACCTATTAGTATAGGTAGTAGAACAGATGATCTAGCCATTGCCTCACTGCTATTTGTGGGACCTTAGCTGTAATATAACAGTGACTACACTTGAACATACTATAGGCTGTGAAATACTTTAGAATATCCTGAGGTTATGAAAGTTGTTAGAGGAATGACAATTTGTCCTTTCTTGAAAATGATTACACTAGAATTGTTCATAGACTTTTGTTGTAGAAGCTGTTTAACGTGTTCACAGCTTCCCATCTTTTCTGTTTTTGTTTCACATTTCCAGCTTTTGAAAGTTCTTGGGTGTTTTTACAAAGAAGTGAAATCCTTTTTAACATTAAAATCATTAACATTGACATTAAAATCTCACCATCAGAGAGAGACAGGGAACTTTGCTGTAACATAGCTGTATGCCTGATCAAATAACATGCTTTCTCCTTGTGCAGTGAAATAACAATTGCAGTGTTCAGAAATTTGTGGATTTTTCTTTTCTGTGTATCATGCTGTGAGTGTCTTGCATTCTGCCCTTCCTCCATGTGGCTATTATCTAGGGAAAGCTATTGAGAACAACTGTAATTTTGACCAATGGGCAGAATTGTCAGGTGGATCAGCTCATGGTATTCTGCCTTCCTGCTGTGCTGTCAAACAGAGGACAGGGATCCCATTTGCAACTATCAAGATGGATGTCATTGCCCCTGAAAAATGCTAGTTAATTAATGCTTTAATAGGCCCCTGATTCCTGCTGGTTGATTTGTAATTTGGAAAGATGTTCCACCCCTCAGAAAAGCAACCAGAGACCGGAAAATGACAGGGAGCTGCTTCAATGCATGTTTATTAAGATTTTCCCATCCCAGACACTCAAGGGGTTGGGAAAATTCTAGCAACCACTTGCACCTGTTAATATTTTGGCAAACCAATGCTGCACACTCCAGGACCGATGTCTTACTCCTATGTTGTGGTGCCCAGAGCCTGATCCTGGTCCCAGTGTTATGATACATGTGCTCAATATGTGATTCTTGTCTCCAATATTCCCATATGAGCTCCAGTTTGAGCTTCTAAGAATAGAAATTTGATCATAGGATAAATATTAGTCAGGATGCAGGACAGAAATATCCTGCTCTTCCAAATTGTGACCGATGACTTTTTG